ATGGCCGGAGAAGCGGTGCGTCGGTGCGCACCTGGGATCCGAACCCGGGCCGCCAGTAGCGGAGCGCGTGCACTTAACCGCTAAGCCATGGGGCCGGCCCCAGGCTTTTTAGCTATATGAATACTCAGTGAGACTTTCCAAAGTTGTGCAGGCCATCACAGGGTGTCTCACATCCCTGTCCCTCGTCCACTAAAGATCAGTAATGAAACCCAACCAAAAATGCCCCACAAGTTTCCAGAACAATCCCTAGGGGTCAGTACTGCCCTGTTGAGAACCACTGTTCTAAGATATCCAATTTTAGTTTCTTTAAATTGGAGAGTGAACTTGAAGCATTTACAAAGGAATCTGAGTTCAGAATGCATAGTTTTATACTTTCTTCCTTATTTACATATTTTTTGCCTCTAATTCAGCAGCAATTTATTTTAGCTATTTGCCTTTGAGAGTTCTTCAGAACGTTCAACTTTTACATAAACTCATTTTATTGTTTTATATAATATTTCATTAAATTATATGTTTATAATTACAAGGATAACTGGCTTGAACACGTTGGTAGTGGACACAACTGACTTGATAAGCACACAACTCATCGGGGAAGTGGAAATGCCCGGGTGTCCAAGAGAGTGGCTAACTAGATAGTTATTCAGCCTGCCAGGGTATCAATTCTTTACTGAGTCAGGTTAATCTAATGATTAGTGAAGTGGAAACAGGTTAAGAGAGGTTTTACTGTAAATGCATTGATTTGAGTCCTATCAATATTAGCAAAGTTATAGAAGATTTTTAAAATGCCAACACCTAGGACTGCTGTAGTTGTAATGAAATAGGCACTTTCATAGATCTCATCCAAACTATTGACACATCAATTTTGCCATAGGTTTCAGGAGTTGTTAAAGACTTTAAAATGTTCAGATCCTTTTAACTGAGTAATATTGTGATATTCTGAGTATTCTGTATCCTAGAAAATCAGAGATTTTAGTTTTTAAAATTATATCCAATTTGTTGCTTCCGTCATTATTCATAATAGCAAAAAATTAGAACCAAATGTCTAAAAATGGGGAAATACTTAACTATTATAGCACCCACATATGACAGAATATTATCTATTTTAACACCATTAAATTGTGTTTTAAAAGAACATTTAAAGATGTGGGGAAATGCTCATGAGATATTAAGTGAAAAAAGCAGTATGCAAACTTATGTACATTATGTTGTTGATTTTGTTTAAAAAAGAAACAAACATGCAAAGAAGTGACTAGAAGGAAATGTACCAAATTGTGATACTACTGGAATTACCAATGATTTTATTTCATTCGTTATATTTTTCCATATTCAATTTATCTAAAATGAGCAAGTATCACTTTTATAATCTGGAAAAATAAATAGGAAATATTGCTTATAATTTTTTTTTTTCCCCCAAAGCCCCAGTATATAGTTGTATGTCATAGCTGCACATCCTTCTAGTTGTTGTATGTGGGACGCGGCCTCAGCATGGCCAGAGAAGCAGTGCGTCGGTGCGCGCCGGGATCTGAACCCGGGCTGCCAGCAGCAGAGCGCGCGCCCCTAACCACTAAGCCACGAGGCCTGCCCGGAAATATTGCTTAATTTGCTAACATTTACTTTTTTCACCTTTTGAATAAAATGAAGTATTTTAACAATATGTTTTTGTCTGCTACCCAAACTTCTATTTAGAATGGTAACATATTAAAGATTAGAAGGTGCTTTTATATTAAGTTATTTAAAACTCTTTACATGGTTAAAAAGACTTAAAATTCTAAATAAGCAAGTTCAGGGGCCGGCTCTGTGGCTTGGTGGTTAAGTGCGCGCGCTCTGATGCTGGCGGCCCGGGTTCGGATCCCGGGAGCGCCTGGAGGC